CTATTTATAAGGTTTTCACTGGCCAGTTCTTTGAGAAGTCGATGGCCTCTTCCTTCTCCTGAATCTGTTTTAGGCTGGAAGCGCCACTGAAACCTGTCCACTATGGCTAAGTCTCTTGGCACTTGAAACACTGATGACACAGCCTCTAGCCTCCCAGCAACACATAAGCTACCACAAGACAACTAACTGACAGACAAGTTCGTCTCCCTTACCTGTTCCAAACTGCTTCACTCCCTCCCACTTTCTGGCCTTCCCTATGAGTTTCAACTCTCCAAAAGCCATCTGCCACCACTTCCCAGTCTTCCCTACCAGTTCCGACCCTCCAAAAATCTGTCTGCCTCTGCTTCCCAGCCTTCCCTACCAGTTCTGGTCCTCCAAAAAGCCATCTGCCCGTAATCATAATAATTATATATAATTATTATTATGTCTTTCCTTGTCTCTTATGGTCACTTTGTCTTATCAGAAATTAATACTGCCACTCCTGCTCTTTTTGATTGCCTTCTTCTTGATATGTCTTTTTCCAACCTTTAATTTTTAGTCTGTTTTTGTCTTTGTGTCTAAGGTCAGTCTCTTGTAGACAGCATATTGATAGGTCATGTTTTCTTATCCAGTCTCTAACTTCCCATCTTTTGAGTGGTGCATTTAATCTATTTAAGTTCAGTGTAATTATAGACAAGTATGAACTTATTGATGTCCTTTTGTTATGTATTTTTCAATGGTGTTGCTTATTTCTTTGTTCCATATAATTTTCTGTGCTGATCTCATTTTGTTTATTAATCGTGTTATCATCTTCATTGCTATTGTTTTAGCTGAATATCTGTGCTTGTCTTCTTTTTCATTTTGATGGAAAGATTTATTATTTTTCTTTGAGGTTACCTTGTGATTTATCATTTTCTTCCGAAGTATAAAACAGTCTGTTCTATCTCACAGTGGTCTTGACTTCCTCACTATTTAGAAGTTCTGTAACTACGCTGTTAATTCCCTCTTTTTGTTCTGTGGTTGTCCTCATTTACCAATTGATATATCTGATTCCCTTTTTACAGTCTTGTAAGCTTGTTTTACTTCATATACTTCTGTAAGTGAGTTAATTTCTGGGTTATGTCCTCATGTATATTAATCATTGATTGTTGTTTGCTATTGTTGGTTCTCTGTCTGAGGACTCTGTTTTGCATCTCTTGTAATGTCAGTCTGGTTTTAACAAATTCCCTTAATTTTTGCATATCTGGAAATGTCCTAATTTCACCATCATAGTTGAGAGACAGTTTTTCTGAGTATATAATTGTTGGTTGAAATTTTTTTTTTCTTTCAGGGTTTTATATGTACCATACTATTGCCTTCTTGCCTGCATGGTTTCTGCCAAGAAATCAGAGCTTAGTCTTATTGTTGCCCTTGTAGGTATCTTCATTTTTCCTGTGCTGCTTTCAGCAAGTTTTCTTTGTCTTTGGTTTTGCTGAGTTTGATTATGATATGTCTTTGTGATTTACTTTTGGAGTCTATCCTGTTTGGGATTCTTTGAACTTCTTGAATGGATATATTCTTGTCTTCCATCATATCAGGGAAATTCTCTTCCAACAAATCTTCAACAGTTTTCTCTGTGTTTTATTTTTCTCTTCCTATTCTGGAATTCCAGTCACATGTAAGTTATTCCTCTTGATGGTATCCCACATGGATCTTAGGCTTCTTCATTTTCTTTTGATCTTTTTTCTGACTGATACCTTAACAAAGTAGTATTGAAGTATTTGTCTTCAATCTCTCTAACTCTGTTGCTTGAACAATTTCTCTTAGAAAGATCAGCACGAGGTTGGTCCCCATGAGGCAGAGGTTAAAGATGTCCCAAATGTCCAAACTACCATGCCACTCCATCATTTCAGACATTAATTCCTCCTCCTCCTCCTCCCAGTAATCTCCCCAGTGTTAGGGTTCTGTATTTCACTGTAACGTTTCACAGAACTCACAGACACCCAAGGATTCGTCTCACGTAGTAGTGGTGGAGGCTGGCAGGCTGGCGAGTCCCAGGTCTGTGAGTAGGTCTGGCGGATCCTCCCAACTCTCAGGGTTTGATGAACCTCGATCAGCAGATCAGATGATGGCTGCTGTCCCAAATCCAGGAGTGAGATGAGGATGATCCAAGACACAAAGCCGGAGCAAGAAGATAGCAAATCTTCCCAGGAGATTCGTAGGTATACCCTCAGGGAAGCTAAGAGTGGTGATTTGAATTATACCCTCCAGCAAGGCAGGACTCAAAATACATTCCACCTGTGTTGCCCCAACAGAATTAACCTAAATCCCATCACAGAGTCGTTTGCCAGTCATTATAGGGAATGACTACTACCAGCTGCCCAGCCAAGTTGATACCTGACCTTAACTACCACACCACCCCAAATAGGCATGGATAATGGGATTTACAAAACATCACAGAATGGAGGACAATGGCTAGAAGGGCCACATCAAGCAATTCACTGCATCTGTCTTCCATTGATTTGATTCTACTCCTTTTTCCATTCAATGTATCATCTATTTCTGAAATTTTAGTATTACTCTTCTGCATTTCTATTTGTTGTTTTTGTATCATTTCTAATCTTTTGTTTATTTTGTCAATTTGTTCTTGTATTGTTTCCCTAAATTATTTTAGAATTTTGTCTGTGTCTTCGTTAATTTTGTCAGTGTTTTCCTTGATCTGTCTTTCAATTCACTGGAGGCACCCAAATATAATTCTTTTGAATTGTTCATCAGGGAGTGCCAATGATGGTTTTTCCTCAGGGATGTTTTCTGGCTTTGTATCCTGGCCCCTTGTTTTCACTACTTTATGTTGCTGCTTTGTGTAGATTGTGATGGTCTGTTGTCGCTGAGATATTATGGTGGTGTTGTATTTATGTTTAGTTTGTGGTTTTCTGTTGGTTTGATTTCGTAAGATTTTTTTCTTTCTTTCTTTTGTTTTGATATATCTGTGTTACAGGGTGCTGTGCTCCTCTATTTGCTAGTTGTTAGCGCTTAGGTGCTCACCACCTGTCCCTGGTAGGTGTGATAGAGAATGAGGGTGTGTCCACAGATCTCTGTTATTTGTTCATAAAGAGCAGTTGATGGTGAGTTCAGCTGGTAATCTCTGCCATCTATTGTTGGCCAGTTGATGCAAAAGAAAGTGGTGGCCCTCACTTAGTGGGTGGGGGCTGCAAGAGGTGCAGGTACGGTTGGGTTGTATGAGAACAATTGCTGTCTGCCACTCAGACAAAATAAATTAGAAGAACTACCAAAAAATTAAAAACAAGAGAACTAAAAACTCAAACTGCATAAGCAATCAGGAATAATCACAAAACAAAAAAAGAAAGAAAAGAAAATCCATAATTGAGAAAAAAATTTAAATACATATTTTAAAAAGACAAAAGCAAGAATGAGAAAAAGAAAAAAAAATAACCTCATGCTATCTGGGGAGGGAGTGAAGAGAGAAAAGAGCAAGAGTAAAAAATAGTAAAGAAAAATGGGAATACTGCAAGAGGCAAGAGGGAACACATGGAATGGGAAGAACCAAAAGAAGGAAAAAAGAAGGCAACCAGCAAAAGGAATGAGGGAAAAAAAAACAAGAATCAGGGAAGGGAAAGAGAAAATAAAGAAAGAAAGATAAAGGAAGAAAGGAGGAAGATAAAAGGCATAATTCAAAAACAAACAAAAACCAAATTGTGAAAAGAGGGGCATAGCACCCAGGCTTTGTTAGGGCACAGACCAGGATAGAATTCCTGCTGGTCAGGAAGGTGGGTGATGGTGGGGATTGACCACACCTCTGTTTACTAAGAGGATGTGGGGTATGAGAGTAACAAGGGGAATATCATACCTTTTTAGTCATCAGTCTACAGTGCAGTTGCCCATGCTATTCTCGGCAAGTGGATACTATTCTTAGGTTGCTGTCCAGGTCAGAGCCCCACTTGGATATATTCAAAATGGCCGTACCAATTGCAAATATTCTAAAGGGCTGTGCCCTCAGGACTGTTTGTCTCCTTCACTGTTTTCCTTTCTGGTTGTCAGGTACCAGTTCAGTTCTTGCTCATTTTTCCCTTGGTAAACAGAGCTAATTCTTAGGTTGTTACTGGGATGCTGCTTGCAAATATTCAGAATGGCTGTTTACCAATGGCAGTCCCCAGCTCTGCTTATCTCCTTATTTGCTGTTTTCCTTTCTAGTTGTCAGGCACCAGTGCATTCCTTGCCCATGTAGTAGTTGTTGAGCAGACCCAATTCTTAGGTTGTTACTGAGGGCACACTGAAATATTCAAAATGGCTGTGCCCTCAGAAGAGCCGGCAATCTTCAGGTCTGTTTTTCTCTTTACTCATGGTTTTTATTCAGATTCTTCTACTGGTTAGTGTCTGATCCATTTCTTCATCTTTCCCTTCAAAGTTCAGGGTTCCATGATCATATTCTGTATTGCTTTCAATTGGATTTTCATTACTTTGTTGCAGGGGGTCTGTTTAGCTTGTCTACCTATTCTACCAACTTGCTGGAACTCCTCAGTCTATTTGTAGTTTTAAAACAATCTTCTTTGTAGTACTAGCAAATTCAAACCATGGAACTGAATATTCATTAGGCGTATTTGGAAAACTAGAAATTCAGTTCCAGTAATTTAGCTGTCTCATTTTATCTTAAAGATAATTTGTTTGAAATAGGTTCTTAGTACAATTTAGCTCTGATCAAAAGCACAACTTAACTGAAAAACTCACTTTACATATTTCAATACAACATAGACCATAGAAATGTAAATTACTTATACCCATTGCTATCAAGTCGGATCTGACTCATAGAGACCTCTCCTTGGGTTTCCGAGGCAGTATCACTAAGTATATTCCTTCCAAGGAGTGGCTGGTGGGTTTGAACCACCAACCTTCTGGTTAGTAGTCAAATGCCTTAGGCACTACGCCACCCGAGCTCCCATAAATTACCAATGGACAATGTACTTTTCTTTCTAATGCATATATTTTATTCAAGCAGCATGTATTTCTCTCTCCTTGTTTTACAGATGTGCAAATAAATGCTTCTCAGCCAGAAACAAATTTGCCAGCTGGATATCCCCCTCAGTATCCACCAGCAGCATTCCAAGGTAAATCATTTCTTTAAAGAAGAAAAAACAAAATTGATCAATTACTGATATTCCCTTAGTGTTTGTGTGTATGTGGGCTACATTTATTTTAGTAGTGCTTTTTGTTAAAATCCCTTCAATGCAAATGTTTGGCAGACTAGTTCTTGATTATGTATTTGAATATCTATTATCAAGAAGTATTATTTATAGAGAACAGTGAAGATATAAAAGAGAGCCAATAAAAACAGTATTAAGTATTCATTTAATAAACTAAATATAAAACTTTGCATAAATTAAACCTGCCCAAATAACAGATAGAAAGTAAAAGATTTTGTATTCCTCCATCAGTTCTGAAAATTGTCATCACATTTAAGTTATTTGTCCCTGGGTGTTATTGAGTCATATACTCGCTAGGGTTATTTATTTATGTTCAGTGAGAGTCACAGAAAATAAGGTAAAGACAGCTCAAATTGAAATGCAACTAATGGAAATGTAGCTACCTGGGGAAAATTCTTATTTTCATTTTGTAACAAATACGAAAGCTTTATTTTTATATACATGCTGAAGCATGCCTTGCATTTCTTTTTTTTTTTTTTTATTATCATTATTTTTTTTGTATTAGGATTTCGGTGAAGATTTACAGAGTAAATTCACTTTTCATACAGCAGTTCACATATACTTTGTCTCATGTCATTGACCAAAATTTA